CCAAAGACTTTTGGTTAATGCTGTGTGCAATTAAGGCAGCTAAACGAAATTCAAACTGGTCACTGCCGAGGTGTTTTCTAATTGATTTTGTACGATGGACCAAGTCCGTCTCTGTCAACATAACATCCGACTCTCCATATGGTTGTTCATAGCTGGGCTGCTTAGTCGCCTCTTTATCAGACGTGTGGTTGCTTCAGAAAATCTTCCTGCTCCCGAATAAACTGTTCGTCTCTTGGAGGCTGCACATGGGGCTTGAAGTCTCAATGCAACGTCTATTTCAATTTGGATCTTCGTCTGAATAATGACCGAGTCACCCGGCTCCTGATTTTATGGACTATTCATAGGATGAAGTCCCCATGGAACAACATGTGTTAGTCTCCATCTTGTCTGGATCAGATTGTATAAAGTTATTCGCACTCTATCGAGAGACATTCCTTGATGACGTTAATGCATATTTGAGACAAAGAGTCTACATCTGCTCGTTTCAAGTAATTTCCCTCCACTGGTCTGATTTGACTGCATAAGAGGTACAGACTGACGTCATGGTATCAGGACTGGACTATTCTGGATATAAGGTCACCAAGGAAGTAAATGCACACAGAGGGCAATCAATTGTATAGAACTTAGAAAGGTCTTGTCAATGCACCCGTATTTGACGAGGGATGATAAAGTTTACTAAAGTCTAAACGCCAAATAGTGTGAAAAGGCGAGCGTTGAAAAAGACGCGGTTGTGGGAAGAAGCGGGAGTAATATTAAAGCTGTGTTTTTGCTGTGCATATGAAATGTTTACGATGCCGAAATGCTCCAATCCATGAGAAACTCTCGAGCAAATTTCCATATTTCAACAGAACGTAAACACAGGTCAACCAAGAGGCGATACTGCGCAGTGCGATGACATAACTTGACGCTGAGTAAGAAATGCCAAATAGGGGGATGTTGGTCTAATTTTGTTCCCTCCTGACTTGCGAGCGAGTGTGTCCCCAGGCCTGACCTCTTCGCTGCCCTTCCTTTCTTCCTCATCGCTGCATCCAACCATGCCGCCCCGCGGTAGCGAAGGATATGATTTCACTCCAATCTTGACGCACTATCTCTTCTTGTTTACAAGCATTCTTGCCATCGTACGTTCTTAGTCCCTTTTTCCAGAACATCGGACGACGAATATGACTGACTCGTGTTCTTCTGCAGGCAGGCTGGTTCACTGCTTTCATCGGTCAAGCTGTCGCCTCAGCAAGATGTGAGTTCATCACGATGGAATGGTCTTGATTTTGAACTGATGATGGTGCTTTAACAGTTGGCGCGCACAGGACCGTCGGCGTGCTATGGTTCGCCATCTTTTTGCAGCTGTTCCTCATCCTAGGTGTACTACACACTCTTGCAAGCGATTCCATCGCTATGCATCGTTTTCAAATCTCAGTATTCGGCGCTATTGCGACTGTTTTCGCAGTCTTTGGTGTTGACATGGGCATTTTTTCGGGCGAAAGCTCACTCGATGCTATGGGCGCAGGATGGCTCATCCTCGCAATAGTCGACATACTTTGGGTCCTTTACTTCACATCCGAAGAGGACTCTCTGACTTTGCACATCTTTAACTCAATGGGTACGGGCGGTCTATCACCGCCTAGTAGACGCCGACGCGGCGGTCGCGGACAATCGATGCACATGGCGGGCAACGGCTACACAGGTAGCTACGCAGGCGGCGGAATCGGACCGGGGGATGTACCGTACGACACCAAGATAGGCAGCGGCGTCGGCATGGACATGAACATGAACGCACGTAGCAATGGCAGTCTTGGTCCGACTGGTGGTGCAAGCATTGGTGCTGCGACTAGGAGTTTGGGACCGACTGGAAGCATTAGCGGCGTGCAGAGTACGGGAGTTCCTGATACTGTTGGCGCAAGTTCGCCTTTGATGGGGAGCGGTAATGCCGGTGTTGGCGCTGGTGGTGGAATGTCGAGCCCTGAGCCATCTGCCGCCATTGATTCTGCTGTGGTGCCGGAATTTCGGGCGAAGGCACTGTACGCTTGTCAGTACAACAGATACGTTATACTTTTCCAAGGCCTGTGCACTGACATCACTTCTAGATAAAGCATCCCCTGATGACGCGAATGAGATTTCGTTCGACAAGAACGACATTCTCGAAATACTTGATAAACAAGGGAAGTGGTGGCAAGCAAAGAAAGCAGATGGGTCTGTCGGAAGTAAGTTCGGGCTTTACACGGATTTTTTCCATACAAACCTGACATGTTTGGACAGTTGCACCGTCGAATTACCTACAGCTCATATGATCATGGGAAGCATATACTTTGCCGCACCGTACATCTACTCACGGCTAAATCATGCCTTTAACGCTTCTCATACCCCACGTTCACCCTTCTCTCGTTAACGTTTCTGTTCTCGTATGTGTTTTTTTACAGTGATGTACAGGAAGGAGTTCTCTGTCCATTCTGTGGTGTTCTTTTCCTCTACTAAATATCGTATTTTCTGCTTACCTTCTGTGTATCATGTCTACTAGTCCGGACATACCACTTTTCCGTTTCCGCTCTGCAGATTTTGCTTACTTCCTAGGCGCGGGCGCGCTTGATTCTTGTGCATCTCCTGGCCGATTTCTGAGCGGACGCACTGACGTAGACGCCCATATTGCCTTTTCAGCACCCTTTGTCTGGGTATACATAATAGCAAGAGCAACCTGTTTGTATCTATGCCAATGAAAGATTCTTCCTCTAGCAGCAACTGTCAATGGATTGTTATGACGATGCGGGAGAGGTTTGAAATAGACGATAATTGCTCCGGGGTACCCGCACAAAATAATTCGATAGTTTTTCTGATTTATATACGAGTAGGGCTGTGTTTTGCTGATATTCTCCTTGCCTTGCATCATATCGCGACCTTGATTGGTTAGCTTGACTTTGACAAAGGAGGGGTTCGGCAATCCAGGGCTATGTGAGATTAGATTGCCTAATCAGGGACCGACGCCATCAATGAGAGACACAACCGAACCGTATCAAAGCGACCACTATGCTGCATCCTCCCTCCCAGCCACCACCTGTTTTTCTGCCCACAGGCCATTAAAGGGCTCGTATATATTAAGAGTCACCGGCGCGAAGACATTTCCTGGAAAAATTTCCGTTCAGTCTCATTATAACTACCGGAGAACTACCGCGGTGAACATGCACAGCGTTACTAGGGATGAAGTGTTCTACTTTGATATGACAATCTTTCAGGTACGCTGTTTGCCTTTTCCGTAAATTTAATATCGTTCTTAAATGTGTGATATAGGTGGAGGATTACCTTTTCAAAGTGCCTCGAAGACCTTTCGAGGACCAGTCAGATATCTTTCGGTCCATGTTCTTGCTGCCTCAGGGGCAAAGCAAACTGGTGGAAGGGATGAGTGACGAGAATCCTCTGGTTCTCGAGGGAATTTCAAAGAAAGACTTCCGAGCTTTCTTGCAGGTCCTTCTTCCTCCGTGAGCGTATTATTTTCCCTAGTCAATCACATTGAAAGCCAACCTAGCCGCCACAATTGTGCAGGACCTTCGGAGAAGACATGGATTACTCGGAAGAAGAGTGGCTTTCCGTGTTGAGCCTGTCCAATATGTGGGGGTTCACGAGGATTCGGCAGACGGCAATTGAGAAGCTACAGAATAATAGTATTGATCTCATCACGAAGATTGAACTTGCGCACAAATATGATATTCGCGAGTGGCTCTTCGGTGCATATCTCGCACTTGGGAAACGTGCAGAACCACTGTCGGTTGGAGAAGGCGCGCGACTGGGATATGACTTTGCGTTGAAGATGGCAACTGTGCGCGAACAGTTGCTACGGGATAAGATTGCACATCCGAATGCTTACCGACAACGTCCTCCTGCACCATTCATTCCGCCCCGAGGCGAGAGTCCGCGTGGTAGTATTCGGAATGGTCAGAATAGCGCGAGCAATGGGGTTCGTGCGCGTCTCTGGGCCACCCCTACACCACAACACCCATTCCCAGGCGAACTAGAGGATTCAGATGACATCGTACTTGCTAGGGCTATCCAGGAAGTATTTGGCATTCGTGGCGAGCACCCGAGCATTACATACAGAGCGGACTTGGACACAGATGATTTCCAGAACATGTCGATGTTCTTTATTAATGATACTCTATGACCGTTATGGCATCCCATATGTATTTTCTGGACCTTCGGTATGATCTACTAATGTAGTGGAATAATTTTGCGCACATAACTTCTACGTATGTTCTCATGATACTTACATTGCGTTTACGAAGATATATGTGTAATGCATTGTTTTTTCATCTGATTCGTAAATTGATTATCGGTCATGAATTAAACACTAACCATGTCTAGATGAGCGTCCGATGTTGCAGCACGAGCACGAATTCTCAAAGCATTTAGTACATCCAAGCTAGTACATCATAGTCCTCAGATATCCTACATATCCTGTCTGGTCTATAACAGAGTATACATCATGCCCTGTGTGTCCTAGCAAGTAACTGTTCCTAACAATTGCTATTGCCCTTGGAGCAACCCGAATGTTCTGCAAATTCTAAATGTATAACAAGTCATGTCAGAAACAGTCACTAGTAAATGCATTATTAAGTTACCTGTACTAGAGTTGATAACTTTGAGTATCTTTCTTATATCCCTCCTCAATTGTTTGTCTCCTGAGCCAGAAGTCAAACTTCCCTCTCTAACATGAGACATTCTGACAGCAAATTCCAGGCCTCCAAGTGTTACGGTTCTCCGCCCTCGTACCTTCAGTTCCGAGGGTTCCGTACCCTTCCGTACCAGAACTCAGGACTTCTGTCCCTCAGGGGTGCTGTCTATGGACTATATGCATGCTGACTCTTGCTACTACCCTTCCTTACTTCATCATTCCATTCCTTTGACCACCCCTTCATTCTTTGTTCATTCTATAGTCTCTTACCCTTTGTCCATCCCTTCATTCTTTATACCTTTATCTTTGACATTCCTTTCTTTCATTCTTTGTAGCTTATCATTCTTAAGTGGCTCATGCTCCCTGAGTACTCTTGTGTAGTTTAGTATATATAGGTGTACAAGATCAGACTGGTCCTGTAGTCTTGATCTTGTCTACTCTAGGTAGTCCTGTACTCTTAGGCTCACTCTATATACTCTACTCTTGTCTCACTCTCTCTCTCTGCCTGTTCTGCAAGTTCTGACTATGTTCTAGTGCTCACATTCTGTATTTCTGTTGTGTAGGATAGTTGTAGCCTGAGTCCCCTTGCTAAGCCTTCAGGTCCCCTCTACACTGTTGCTAACATCAGATTAAGACTCCTTATTACTACCCTACAACTCTCCTATGTTTTAAGCATCAGTACTCACTGTTACATTGATCTCTTTTCTTCATCACGAAAAAGTCTTAAGTATTATACTTGCTTGTAATCTTGTATATTTTGTATATTTTATAAAATTTGTCCAATTGCTTATAATCTTCCTGGGGGGTTAAGTAATGACAGTACAATGTTAGATAAGTAAGTAAGAATACTTTTAAAACTTGGCAATTTCCATTATAATTTTATAAATTGTCAAGTTATAAAAGTGATTATAACACTTTCTAAGATTACAAGACTAAGACATACTTATTTATTTGAGAAAGTATAATATCTGCTTATAATGCTTATAAGTCATTACAAGCATTTGAATGGTTT